AACCTTTCTAGCTGTCAACATAAACAAGCCACTTGTTTGTGTACCAGCCTGGAAGCTTCACAAACAAACTGTGCTGAACTCCAAATCATTAATGTACTCATAACATATATAAACATGACCATACCACCCAACAAATGTATCCGCAGAAACCAAGTGTTAAATGGCAAAGTAGTTTACGTCTAGATGTTGTCTCATAAAAACTGTGATTAGGTCGATTAGCTTTGCTAGATCTTTGTTCATTTTACAGGCAAGAGTCATTACAGGGTTTACACTCACACAAAGGCCATAAATCAACCTGAAAGCTTTTGATTTTAGTGAAAAGGCAGGGCCAATTTTCTCTGCGTCTCAGTTAAGTGACCACAGTCATCTTGCTGGCATGGACCTCATGCTTGATGGAAAGGCTTTTCATTTCCGCTGTGTGTTAAGCAGCATGGGGTGAATTTGGAAGATAAATACGAAAAATAGCAAGGTTACATGTTTCATGTACATCATGTGTGGTTCAGTGTTAGCTGTATTTCAACATGAAAGCAGTGTTAATTTATGAAAACAGCTGTCAGAACGGTTTAAGCCGCCATGATGGTTCTTACAGTTAAAGCGATAGTTCACTCAAAAATTCTGTCATCATTTACTCACCCTTATGCCATTTTAAAGCTGTACAACTTTTTTCTTTTATTGAACTCAAAGAAGATATTTTGAAAATTTTCTAATTTTTTTTATCTATATATTTACAACATGTTTAGTTACAACCAAACAACATTTGGACCCCAATGATTAAAAAGTTAAAGCATTCAATATTTCTTCTTTTGTGTTTTATGGAAGAAAGAAAGTCAGATAAATACAGGTTTGTTACCTCCTGATTCAAGCGACTCATTTCATCAGTACATTACCTAGGAATCGAGCCTGTAACTGGCGTTGCTAGGGCCATGCTCTATCAGTTGAGCTAATGTGGTAAGACCACATGCTTCAGTGTCATCACTGGCTCCACAAAGACTAACAGACATAATTAACGTCTGGACCAGTCTTAATTCTCTCTGTCTGTTTGCCTCTGGTTCTGCATGTCACTCAATCCACTGTGAATACACTGAAGGTCATCCACAGGTGAGAAAGACAAATCTTAATACAATCAGGTGCACTGGTTCCTTGGAAAAACATTATATTCCATGAACATTGAATATAATGACATTTCATCAAAGTTTTATCTGTGTTTATGTGTAGGCAGATGAGGAGACGGTCTTCATAGCGATGTGTACCTGGTCTAATTAAGGCACGTCTGATATGCAGAGGTGGAACACAATCTTTTGCCCTCCCAACAACATGCACATTAGTAAGTTTGGTCCTAACGCCTCCACAACCTCGCGAGAACAGATCATGTCTCCATGGCAATGCAGGACCCAGATTCACGTCTAGGAGAGACTAACTATATTACACTTAATTAGCTGGAGCCATGACAATGACAGCATTGCATTACTGGTACAAGTGAAATTTACTTTAGATAAACAGAACAACACAGACCATCGACACATACACACGCACAATATTGCTGATAATATATAGAACATATATCATTAATCTGAATAAAAATTACCAAACTAAAATTATGAATATTTGGATGAAAAAAATCGAATTGTCAAAAAACAATGACTTGCAAGGCGTCAGGGTCTTATATTTCAGAAATCAGTCACAAGATGTTCACATTTCCTTTTTAACCGTACAAAATGTCTTTCAGCAGTTAGAAAGAATGACAGGTTAAGAACTAAATAAGAGACTGTGTTGCCATGGTAATCTTAAAATACCAAGAAAAACACGTGGCATAACAACACAAGAATTTTAAGTGCAGGGACCGTGGTTCATAAAGTTGAGCTCGAGGGCTCTCCCACCCGGCCCTATCTGAAAAACAAACAGACTGAGATTGAGGATTGTGTTTGTTAGAGAACATATTATGCACTTAAGACTCAACCTCAATCCTCCACAAAATGCATGTGTTTCGTGGTATTTGCACATCGCCCAAAACAAACGTACACAAATAGAAACGCATGGCTTTGGGAAGACTGTTGTTTCCAATACTCAGCATCTGCATTTAAATGTTTTTCTGTGTTTTACATGCTTCGTCTCTGGGACACCTGGGACGTGTGTTTCGAAAAACAGCTTTGAAAAGCTGTTGTTTGTCTTTCTAACTTCCTTTGCTCCAGGAACAATTGAACATTCCTTTTTCTGTCTCTTAAAAGCTTGTTACATGCTTATTGAGATCATAAAACCCGTTCACAGTCTAAACAGAACCCACAACTATCTACAAACAGCATCTTTCTTGCTCTCATAAACATGTCAGGGTCAAATGCCACCTCCACAGATCATGACCGCCGTATCACAAACCCCACGCTCTCAGTGGCACAGAGGATGATTTTCATTAACCCAGGGAAGTGCAAAGGCCCGTCGGGATCAAATATGAATGTGCCTTTGAGACACATTCACTAGCTGATGCTCAGGCACATGGTTTGACCTCCTTTGGTCTCCACTTTGCCCCACTGAACTCCGCTGTGTCCCTGCCATGCTTGCCAGGGGCCACTGCATTGTTTGTGTCCCCACTGTTAGATCCTGCATAGCTGATCCACTGTGTGTAGTGTGAAAATGAACAGTCGTAATCAGTGATTTATTATTGGCTCGAGTCTGTGATGTGAATGGACATGCAAATGCAGACGTACAAGATACACATGCAAAATACAGAAATACAAGATATACATACACAGGAAAAAAATCACTGTCTAAATCAGTATTTTTGTCCTGTACCAAGTGAACTTATATAAACACATTTAAAAGGACTAAATTACATTTTGAAATATGTTAAAATAGAAAAGAGATCTTTTAAATTGTAATAATATTTCTCCATATTACCATTTTTACTGTATTTTTCTTTAAATAAATGCAGCTTCTTTAAGAAAAATTTAAATGCACACTTCTGAAAGATAAATGTAAACATACACAGATATTCCGAATATAAATTTTGTGGGATTGCCTTCACAGCAACGGATATGTACACCACTACAAGATTTTGCATCAGAAGCAAACCCATGATGTTAAAAAATGGTGCCGTTTTGGAAAAGCGCTACTGTCTCGCTCTGTCTGTCCTTATCGCTCAGTCTTCTGAAAAATGGAAATGTGCTCTCCGACCAACCATGTAATTTCTGCATGTCAACTTCAAAGCCACAAAGTCTCTCTACTGTATCAGGAACAGCAGGATGAAAGGTGATGTCTGTTTGTCATGTCAGGTGCACGCTTTCCTTCCTCTTTCCTTATCTACTGAATCTGATATGGCCTAACCTTGACATAACACTAATCAGTGAGGGAAAACAGGAACAAAACACCTAAAGGAAGACCGAGTGGCCGTAATGTCATAAACACAGGACCATGATGCAGGACATGACAATATAATGTCCTTGAATGTGTGAAAAAATAAAGAGAGGCCAAAACAGGTTTAAAATTATCATAGCTAATGCTAATAATGCCTAAGAAAGAATAAGAACAACCCAAATAATGCTTGAAATTACATTTACATTGAGTTTCAGCTTTGGATGCTCTGTAGTTTATGAAGGACAACTATATTCTAAGATGGCATCCATATTTAAAGGTGTGTTTATGTTTTGCTAGCAAGCTACAATTTTTTTTTTTATCTAGGTCTGTCAGTCCGATCATGCAAAAAACTGACAGGCGTGATTTCAGTGGAACTTAAGTGCTTACAAAACATTGTTTTAGTCTGACTGAAACAGAACTTTTAAAGTATATGTAAACATACTTACTCATGGTTAATTTACTCTGCAACCGAATTTGTGATAAAGTGAGTAGCCTATTATTGCACTGGCCATGTGACCTCAATATGGCGGTTATAATGAGAGACCACCCTTAAGTAGAATAAAATAGCTTACTCTATACAACAGATTTTATGCTTTTCTTTGGCTATATATACTTTCAATGGATAAAAATACTAAGTGCACTTTTAAAGGAAAAGTGTATTTTCAGCGTGTGTTGGCCACTAAATACATCATAAATGGAACTGATTTGAGGTTTCAGGAAGAGAAAGAGAAAATCAGGCAGTTTTCCCATCAAAATAATGAATTTCCTCTAGGGCTTCTGTATTCAACAATGCTACTACTGTTGTTCTAGAGCTGTTTAACTGTGCAGTTTTTTGATTTGTATATTATTCACGTAAACATCGGCTGATTGGCTGGACTCTTAACGAGCTGCCCCTAGGGAAAAAGTCATCCCTTATGGAAGAGATTATAACCATGCAATTCGATGCACACCCAAGATTGCGGTTAGCATGCATTGCACACAAGTACAATGAAATAACACATTTGCAACACTGTAATCAGAAATCAACTTGGACTCAAGGGTTAACCAGGGGGTTGATTAGAGATCTGGGTGAGAGACAAGATCTCCATCTTCTAAATAGAATTGCAGCTCATGAGAGATTCGCTAATTGTCCCCTTGTTGCAGAGAAATGTCAAAGAGAGCCTCATAAAGGCCTCACATAACCATTAGAAGAGTTGTAAAAGCTTGAAGCTGCTTTGAGGAGAGATGGCTAATGAAGTGGGTGGCAGTGAGCTGAAAGAGCAGAGATTCGGTATGCGGTTTAACAAAATGGCCAGTAACACTTAAAAAAATAAAGAACACTTGAAATTTTTTTTTTAGTTGGAACCTTTTAAAAAAAGGCAATTGCACTGCAATGACCTAAAGAAGCTTAACTTCCATGAAGAACCTTTTGTGCAATGGAAAGTTCCCATGGATGTTAAAGGTTCTTCATGGAAAAATAGATGCTACTAAAGAACCTTTATTTTGTACGCAAGCTGTAGTATGTGTGAGAGGCAGACAGAGAAAGAGGTGATACTTTTCATGCAACCTGACCAGACAATGAAGACTGTATTTTGATGGTAAATAACATATTAAGTGCAGCCTGGGGCCATGATGTTTTTCTCAAGCTTGTAATACAGGTGTGAGAATTGACTTACACTAGTGACTTTGCGGTAGATCTGCGCAGCGTTTTGACACTCTGAATAAGGGTACTCTGATGTGGTCATCTCCAGGATGCACATGCCAAAGGCATAAACATCCACAGCTTCGTCATATTTCTCCTCATACATCTCTGGAGCCATAAACTCTGGGGTTCCTGTGTGGAAGCAAAGATCAAGACCAAAAAATAAGCATTAAGTAACCATTTAGCAGGCACTTTTATTCCTCATGGCTTAACCTTGTATAAAGTGTCTTGCTCAAGGGCACAATGGTGATCCCAGAGCTTTGGTTGGCCCTCCAACTGACTGAATGTTAAATGTGCACTCATAAACATGAACAGTACATTTGAGATCCAAGTTGAACTTGAGCTTGAACTATTGGTTGTGCTTTCCTGATGTCCAATGCAGGTCACGAATTCTTTAATTATTCATGTCATTGAACTCTCCTAATCTGAACATGAGCAGATCAGATTTTAAACCGTGTTGAGCCAATGCTGAGCTAATGAGCTGATGTGATATAAGCACCACCGTATACAGACGAGGTGAGAAATCTGTTTCAATCACTTGTTGGGCCATAAATACAGTTGACAGAGTACACAAACAAGGCAAGCCCATAGTAGAGGTAGCTCAGGGCACTGTTTACAGTAACTGTTGTGAAGGTCAAAGAAAGTTCTGCTGGATTGCTTGAAGAGAAATTGTTGACATTGTAACATCTAAATAAGCAGTACACTGAAATGTTGTGGGATTTTTAACTCACCAATGACACTCTTGGCAAATGAGGCACTCTTGAGAGTAGCTAGACCCAAATCACCAATCTTAACATATCCAGTGGGGCCAGTGATGAAAATGTTGTCACATTTAAGGTCTCGGTGGATTATGGGTGGTGTTCGGGTGTGCAGGAAATGAAGGCCCTTCAGGATCTGATGACTCCAACGCTGGAGAAGCTTCAGCTTCATCTCTTTGAACCTTTTCAGGTACCTACAGGGAAACAGGTCGGCATTGTAGTTATATTAGTTTTTTTCATTGTAAGTATATTAGTTTTTTCTTAAATTGTAAGGCAGCATCATGTGTATTTTTCATGAAGAAGGCAATTACAGAATGCATCATTAGGGTGTTGCACTGTTAGCTCTTCAAGCTCTACATAAATCAATTGAGAGTTCAGTCTCCCATGCAAAGCAATATTTTGGCGGACCACGTAGGCAGTTGGCAGTTTGAAAGATCACTAGGCTTGGAACAGAGCTGTGGACTTTCATTTCATTCCTCTATTTGTCATTTTATGGTGCTCCTGCTATGCAACCTTCAAAACCATTATGTGCAACGTTATGTCACAAAGTGTGGTGCCATTTGGGATGGAGCCACTGTTAATGAACAGTGACATTAGACATTAGAGGGATATACATTTAAACTATGGTGATGGCATAGTTTTGATCGATTTGGGTTGTTATCCATCAGAGGTTGTGAGGGAGTGTGAGGCAAAAAATCCCCTACAATATTCTATTTATTGAGCAAGACACTTTTCCAAATTACTGCAATTATTCTATGGTTGGCAACTCTGGATAAAAGTGTCTGCAAAATGACAAAGCACAGTTATTATTCCGACAGTGGGCTTCAGTGTCTCATGTGAGAATACACAGAATGAACAGTCCATTTACAGGAGAGAACTTTTCCTGTCTTTGTACTGGCATCCTTAATGGCCACACCATCTGCAAGTACTTTATAGTAATTTTACACAACAATATTTGGACTGAACTTACGTCTTCAGTGTCCCTGACGTCATGAGTTCCGTCACAAGGATGATGCACTTGTGTCCTTTCATGGTGGACTTCCAGGAGTCATAGAAACGGACGATGTTTGGATGCTGCAGGCACTTCAGCATCTCCACCTCTTCACTGAACCGCTGCCGTTCCACTTTCGTCAGCCTTCGGGTCTGTTGAAGAGACACATATTTCAAGTAAATTTATGGGTTAGTTCATTCATGTTCATACATGATGGGACATTGAGTCTGGGGAGCTCTGTACACTTTGTGACTTGTAGGACAGGTGACAGGTCTATGAAGTTGAACCTCATTCAAGTTGAAAGTGACTTAAGTGGCTGGGAATTCAAAACAACATACAACATTTAACCTTCATTTCTTGACTTTAAGAACAACTGTTGTTATTTAGTCTTTTTTTGCCATTTAGTCCATTTTCTTTGACGTTTAACTAGTTTAATGCAATCTACCCAAGTAGGTCATATTCCTGGCTAGCCCTGGAACAACATTCCTATTAACTAATAAAGTTTTACCGTTAGGTTAAGGGTTGGGGGTTTGAACAATGTTCTTATAAACCAATAATATCCTTCTCATTTCAGAGGGAGGTTAGGGTTAAAATGGGGTGGAAGGTGTTCAAGCTATGATTGTTTGATTAAAATATTGTTCCTTGTACTTAAAAAATAACAGTGCAATTAACTGCAATAACTGCAATTTGGGAGGTCAAAAATTGACAAAATGATCCATGCAATTATTATTATCATTTTTTTTTTTTAACCTAAACTTCATGGGTCAGAAGTTTCAGAATGGTACTTCAAACTGAGAATAAACGCACCAGAATTCCCTGACAAATCAAAACACAACTTACTAAATTACTGTTAGCAGCTATTCTGTGTTTTTGAAGTATCAGAAATGCAGTAGACGTCAAAATGTGCCAAATCCATAAGCTGGCACACAGTCTATGCAAAAATAATCTGTGCTACGCACATGGAAAAACTGACAGCGCTGTCTTCTTTCATAACTTTGATTTGCAGCTTTTGGCTTTAAAGGCTGAACTGCATAATTTTCTGCAAGAGAAGGAAGTAGTTGACAGAAGTTGTTGGTCAAAACACATATGGCACCCCAGAGTTTGTTTGCATTTCCACATCTGGCTCTCCAGACAGCTTAACCTGTCCTACGCATGACATTATGTCAAAGGCACAGCCAGATGGTGCCAACAACATGGGGGCACCTTTCAGTCTCGGGCCCCTGAGACAGGTGACAGGTCAACCAGACCAATGACTGCTTCATGCTCATGGTTGTTAGTCTTTAACAAGCAAAAACACACTCAAATTGGATGTTTTTCATCTTTCACACAGAGTACTGATTGTCCAGAATGAGCTCACGCATGAAATATGTTTATTGCTTTAGGTAGACAAGCCTACCGTGAG